ACGCCTTAGGGCAACCACCTTGTAGCATCTCGTCTCCTATGTGCCAGATGGACAGACACGGAGACAGAGACAGAGAGAGAGAGAGAGGGGAAAAAGACGGAGAGAGAGAGACAGACAGAAAGAGAGAGAGAGAGAGAGAAGTACTAAGCCGAGTAAGACTGCTACTTAGCTACTTATAGATGGAACAGTTCCCGGCAGAGCACGTGGTCTGGGGCTGCCCTGGGCTTGTTGCAGGGACATTGCATTCGGAGGTTCCCGCAGCTCCTGCAGCACCCACACAATTTGAGCACACGCTTCTATTTCGTGCCAGGTTGCCAAATTTAATGCGTAGCAGGATTTTCAAATTAAATGCGTAGCAAAGGCTTGAGAGTCGATGTTATGAACGATCCATGCAAAGGACTATCTGCTGCCGCAGAGGCAGCAAGCCCATCAGCGAAATGGGAGGCTTCGCATTGCGCAAAGATCCGAAAAGCTAATTGATTTTCCCTTCCTTCCTTGAATGATTGCAGGTGTCAACTTCAACTGATGGCCCCCCATGGCCCTACATTTGGTGGCAGCCAAATTTATCCGTAACCTACAGTTTCCGTATGCGTCCTGCAGTGACCCGTGCACGGCGTGCGTGCCTGGGCTTCTTGCGGCCTCGAGGAAGACGACGGAAGGCATCCCAACTGTATCGAAACGACAGTTTCAACAAACAGCTCGGACTTTTCAGCATTGCAGACTTTTACAACTCAGTTCAGCCTTCACAAGGCTTCATGATTTGCTCATGCATAATTAGCCCTTACAGTAGGTGGCGGTCGACTTCACTCCCGCAGCAGTGCCCATGAAAGTGGGGCTTAGCTCTGTTATGCTCTATTGCTAGTGAGGCTGAGGTCTTGGTGTAGGGTTCTCCCGTTCAGAACTAACGGGTCAGTTCACTCTGATGCAATCGGTACAGAAAGGATTTATCTTTAGGTGTGTGTAGGTGGTTTGAGTAGCCCCAATTCAAACCTGTCAGCTTGCAATCGCTGGTCAAAACCAAGATGCCATCCGATGAGGCAGCGGGATGCCAGCATTACAAACGACTTGTGCAGTCTCGAAGGGAGAGCTTGGATGCTTGGGAGGCGCTCCCCAAAAGAACTCCCAACATTGGACTGGTCTCCCCGAATATTCATTTTGGGCATTGTGTGGACCCCACTTGGCAGCAACAAAAGAACAGCATGCGATCTTCCCTTCGATCCCACTTCAAAGCTTCTGGCAACTGCATCATACTGCATCCGCATGTGAATTTTCTAGCTTCGACGTTCCGAAAATCTTTGCGCTGTGCCACCTGAATTTCGCATGCCTCCACAGTGCGATGACCCATGTTGCAACTCTGGGTTCATAAGCTGGGTGCTGGAGAGTCACGCCCAGAATGAGAACAAGTAGCCTGCTAAGGTTATTGCACATGACAGTCGTGACGAGGGTCGACACAATTTCCCTAAGCCTGGCCGACTATAACTGGTGCTTTAGACCTTCAGAACAGTCTCAGACCTGTACAGGACTGCTTGCCTGATCAGGAAGCCGAGCTTCAATTTAAGCTTGCTGGAATGTCGGCTTTGCATGACATATTTGGAACCAGCTTTAATCACTCCGACCTGTAAATGCCAATCACCGGCAAATCCAGCGTGCACCATCTACTGCAGGCAGCCCGCTCATCAAGTACGAAAATGTGGACGGCAGTTCGAAGGCTCTTTCACCGGCTCTTTTTCTTCCATAAGCCGTCTCCTAATAATTAGCGCTTGTGGGATTGGATAATGGAGCAGCCAGATCGATGATTCCCATAGAAAGGTAAGATGTTTTGACAATCTTCTTGGGTTTCGACTGGGAGCGGGATGCCTGCTTGGCGCTCACACAGGCGAGCGCCCTGACCCTCACTTGCGCCAACTGACGTGTAGCACGAGAACTAGCTCAACAGCGAGGCTCCAAAGCTCAACAATCCAAGCGAAAGTCGCTCGGCCCCTCAAGATTCTCTTGCGGTACTTCCGTTGGTTGACGACATTAGGCCGCCCCCCTGCCAGAGACAGCCGAAGTTGCCTGACCTGGACATATGCATACAAACACGCCACATCGGAAGCTCTTACATCTCCGAGTGGGGGTCCTGAATAGAACATGAACCCAGCAGAAATTCAGGTTTGCAATTGAAGCCGTTTGCTTCTCTATATCCCCAAACCGTAAACAATCAAGGATAGATGTCAGCAATAGATATAGGACGTCCCGTGGGCGCAGGGGCCGGCCCACACTGGACTCCAGGAACATGCTCTAAACAGTCTTAAATGGCATGTCTCGAGATCAGAGTCTGACGTTGGGATCCTTCATGCAGACCCCTGTTGTTGAGACACGCTCAAGTTTGCGCTGTGTCAAAATTTGGCTCGTCTGAGGACACTTCTGATCCAAAGAGCTACGCAACATGATTGCGTGTTCTTTGAGGCCGCTTCTGACACAAAGCTAAACCGGGCAGCAAGGGCAGCCCATCAAAAGCAGCTGCCGCTGCAGGTACTGGTGTTGTGAGCCTCCCATGCAAAGCTGGTGAACGCTTGTAGGTGAGCACCCTCAAGCTGCAAGGCACAACAGAACCAGAAGCATAGGTAGGCTGTGCGGTCTGCTGGCTGGCTTTTGTCACTGTCACTGCTGTTGGAAACATTTCGAATTCGTCTCCAATTCGAATCAATAGGGTCACTAGTTGTTCCGGCTATGTTCTTCGCATAGCTTTCTTGAGATT